TAAGGATTATAAGAAACTACTATGAACAGTTATATGCCAAAAGATTTGATAACTTAGAAGAAACATAAATTCCTAGAAACATACAACCTAGCAAGACTGAATCATGAAAAAAAAAATTCTGAACAGACCGATTACTAGTAAGCAGATCTAATCAGATATCAAAAATCTCACAACAAAATTCCAGTACCAGATGTCTTCACTGGTGAATTCTACCAAACATTTAAAGAATCAGTGCCAACCCTCAAACTATTCCAAAAAATAGAAGAGACATTTCCAAACTCATTTTAAGAGCCTAATATTAGCCTGATACTAAAACCAGACAAGGACAATGTAAGAAAATTAGAGGCCAATATTCCTGATGAACATAGATGCAAAAAGTCTCATCAGAATTTTAGCAAACCTAACTCAACAATATATTAAAAGGATCATATACAATCAGAAGGTGGGATTTATTCCAGGGATGCAAGGATGGTTCAAATCTGCAAATCACATTAAGAAAATGAAGGGTAAAAATGACATAATCATCTCAATAGATACAGAAAAAGCATTTGGCAAAATACCCATTTATGATAAAAATCTCAACAAAGTGGGCATAGAAAGAAAGTACCTCCATAGTGTAAAGGCCATATATGAGAAGCCCACAGCTAATTTACTCAACAGTAAAGACCCTGAAAGCTTTGCCTCCAAGATAAAGAGCAAGAGAAGGATGGCCATTCTTACTACTTGTATTTGGCATAGTATTGGAAGTCCTAGCCAGAACAATTAGTCAAGAAACAAGTAAAAGACATATTAAATTTTAAAGAAAGAAGTAAAACTGTCATTATTTGCATATGACATACTATATACAGAAAACCCCAAAATTTCCCCCCAAAACTTACTAAGAAATTCAGTAAACTTGCAGTATTCAAAGTCAAGAGACAAAATCTGTTGTGTTTCTATTCAGTAATAATGAACTCACAGAGAAATTCTGAAGATAATCCCATTTACACTTGCATCAAAAATAATAAAATAGGAAATTTAAGAAAATGAAATATATACACTAAGGACTATAAGACACTAATGAAAGAAATTGAAAAAGACACAAATAATAGATATTCTATGTTCACAGATTGGAAAGGTATTATTAAAATGTGCATACTACCTAAAGCAATCTACTGAATTTGATATTCAATGCAATCCCTATCAAAATTCCCATGATATTTTTCACTGATACAGAAAAAACAATTTAAAATTTCTATGGAACTACAAAGACCCCAAATAGCCAGTTTCCTTGAAAAGAAGCAAAGACTAGAGGCATGATGCTCCCTGGTTACAAACTACATTTTGAAGTAATCAAAACTATGATATTAGCCTAAAAACACACACATAGATAAATGAAGCAAAATAGTACATTTTAAAAATCACATGTGGTCAATTAATTTTAAACAAAAGAACCAAGAATACACTATGGGGAGAAGACAGTCTTAAATGGTGAGATAACTGGATAGCCATGTGCAAGATAATGAGATTGGACCACTATCATACCATACACAAAAATTAACTCAAAATAGCTAAAAGTTTTGACCATAAAACATGAAACCATAAGCCTCCTATAAGAAAACAGGCAGTAAGACCCCTGACATTAGTCCTCATGAGGATTTTTTTGGATTCAATACCAAACTGAACAAAAGCAAAAATAAGTGGAACTACTATAAACCAAAAACCTTCTGCATAGCAAAGGACACTGCATAGCAAAGTCAACAAAATGAAAAAGCAATCTACTATATGGGAGACTATATTTTCAAATGATATAGCCAATAAGAGGCTAATATCCAAAATAAATCAAGAATTTGTACAACTCAACACCAAAAACAAAAAAACCCAAGTAACAACTGGAAAGTGGTCAGAGGACCTAAATAAACATTTTTCCAAAGAAGACATACACATGGCCAACAGGCACATGAAAAGATGCTCACCACTAATCATCAAGGAAATACAAATAAAAATCATGAGATGTCACCTCACACCAGAGTGGCTGGCCACTATCCAAAAGACAAGAAATAATAAGTGTTGGTAAGAATGTGGAAAAAGAATCTTCGTACACTGCTGGTGGGTTGCAAATTAGTGCAGCCACTATGGAAAGCAGAATGGAGATTTCTCAAAAAATGAAAAATAGAAATACCACATAGCTCAGCAATTCCACTTCTGGGAATTCAGTCAAAGAAAACAATCTCTAATCCAAAAGACACACTCCTATGTTTATTGCAGCATTATTTACAATTGCCAAGATATGGAAGCAACCTAAGTGTCCATCAATAGATGAATGGATAAAGAATTTGTGGTACATATACACAATAGAATATTACTCAGCCATAAAAAAGAATTAAATCTTGCCATTTGCAACAATATGGATGGACACGAGGGTATCACCTGAGGAAAAAAGCTAGAGAAAAACATATACTGTATGATTTCACTATATGTGGAACCTAAACAACAAACAGCAGAAATAGACTCAAACACAGCAGATTGGTGGTTGCCATAGGAGAGGGGTGTGGGGGAATGGGTGAAATAAATGAAAGGGGGAAGTTAGAATGTTTGATATCTTGAACTAGGTGATTGTTACATGAGTGTATACACATGTCAAAATTCCAATAAAATTTGTGCAATTTATTGTATGTACCTCAATAAAAGAAAAAAATTGAAGATGACACAAAGAAAGGAAAGATAGTCCATGGTCATGGATAGGTAGAATTGATATTGTAAAAAAGGCTACACTACATAAAGCAATCCACAGATTAAATGTAATCCCTATGAAAATTCTAGTGACATTTTTCACATAGAATAAACTCCTAAAATTTGAATGGAACCACAAAATACCCTTAGTTTCCAAAACAATTTTGAAAAGAACATAGCTAGCAGCACCACTCTCCCTGATTTCAAACTATTGCAATCAAAGCAGTACAGTTCTGGCATAAAAATAGATGTATACAATGGAACAACAGAGAGCCCAGAAACAAAACTATGCATAAATGCTCAGTTAATTTATGACAAAGCTCCGAGAATACACAGTGGGGAAAGACAGTCTCTTCATTAAGTGGTGGTGTGAAAACTGGACAGCCTACATGCAAGAATGAAACTGGACCACTATTGTATACCATGCACAAAAAATCTTAACACCACAAGCATTAACTCAAAATGAATAAAAGTCTTGAACATAAAACCTGAAATGATAAACTCCTAGAAGAAAACATAAGCAGTAAGCTCCTTGACAAAGGTCTTGGTGTGGATTTTTTTGGAGTTGACACCAACAGCAAGGCAAAAGAAAAAAAATGGTGGAACTACATCAAACTAAAAAGGTTCTGCCCAGCAAAGGAAACCAACATAATGAAAAGGCAGAAAATAAGGGAGAAAACATTTGTAGATCATATATCTGATAAGAGGTTAATATCTAAAATATATAAAGACTCATACAACTCAATAGCAAAAAAAAAAACCCTATTTAAAAAATGTGCAAAGGATCTGAACAAATATTTCTCCAAGGAAGACATTCACATGGCCAACATCATGTGGATGTCATATGAAAAGATGCCCAGCATCATTAATCATCAGGGAACTGCAAATCAAAACCACAATGAGCTCTTACTTTCAACTCTGCTAGAATGGCTATCATCAAAAAGATCAGAAATTACAAATATTGATGAGGATGTGGAGAAAAGGGAGCACTTGTGCACTGTTAGCATGAATTTAATCTGGTGTAGCCACTCTGGAAAACAGTGTAGAAGTTCTTCAATTAAAAGTACAACTACCACGAAACCCAGCAATTTCACTTCTGGGTATTCATCTGAAGACAAGGAAAACATTAACTTGAAGAGATATATAAACCCCTATGTTCATTGCAGCATTATTTACAATAGCCAAGACCTGGAGGCAACCTAAGTGTCCATCAATTAACAGATAGAGAATATTTGGTATGTGTATACAATGGAACATTATTCAGCCATAAATAAGAATGGAATCTTGCCATTTGTGACAACATGGATGGATCTAGAGGGTATCATGGTAGGTGAAATAAGACAGAGAAAGACAAATACCATGTGACCTCACTTATGTGTGGTATGTTAAAAACAAAAATCCCAAGCTCGGAGATACACAGAAGAGATTGTTGGTTGCCAGAGTTGGGGGATGGGGTTGTGGTGGGGAGAGGTGGAGTGGAGGTGTGGGATGGGTAAAATGTGTGAAGGGGTCAAAAACAAATTTCAGTTATAAATAGGTCATGGGGATGTAATGTACAGTATGTATGGCATATTTAAAAGATCTGAGAGTAGATCTTAAAATTGAACTAATATAATGTTACATATCAATTATATCAATAAAAAAGTTGCCCCCAACATCTTCATTTGCAAGTAAAGGCTAAAGCATCTAATATATTATGCTATTTTCTTCATGGAAAAAAAAAAGCCACTGGGAAAAAATCAGACAAGAACTCAACATATCTAAGTGTTTTAGTAATTCAAGAAAATCCTATTTTCAAAATGGGGAAAGATATTTCCTTAAAGCTCCTGGCTGCTAAAGGACAATTTCACCCTTTACAAATGCTCTTTGAACATTTAGAAAATAATGCAGCAGGAATGCTGTAAAATTCATTCTTATCTAGAGGAGTCTAAAAATCCCTCGAGGGTCCTTCCATTTCATCCAACAGGAAGTTACAGAACATATATTCTCTTCCCGACACTATTCCAGGCTCCAAGGACACAGAACAAAGCAGAGGAGTGTATTTGTGGAGCATAGAGCCAATAAAACAGACACCAATTAGAGAGTCAAACAAATAATTGTGAAATTATATTGTAAAACAACGTGACAAGGACCACCAAAAAAAATAAAGAGGTATATAGAAAAGTCAAATGTCCATGTTACTGTAGCATAAAATAACAGATTATTTCACTATAAAAACTCTCCCCTTTGGAGATGAAATAATATGACCGAGTCATAACTCCAAAATGATCAGGGGCCCAAAAACATACCCTGGCTGCAAACAGAATATCGGCATTATTAGCTGGCAATCCTCCAGGTATTCAGGAAATTCAAGTTTGTAGAAGCGTGTAGATATACTTTAGTTGTGTTCATTTTCCTCGACTCTTCAAACTGTTGGACAATGTTAGCTTTGGAAAATAGAAATCACCTGAGTTAATAATTTGGGTAATTCTCTGTCAAGGTTCTCAAATAATTTGTATCATTCTTATTACATGTATGAACTTCTTAAATCCCTGGATGATTATGTTATTGATACTACCGAAGTATTTTTTTAAAGCTCTTGTCCCATATTTTATTAAATTGTGCTCTCACACCAATCTGTTCTCCGAAGATAATGCAAAGAGCTGCTAGTTTTTGAAATGCTCAGATATTTCAAGTATTTTATTTTTTTGTGTTGAGAACTTTTATTAATTCTCCCAATTTGTTGTAAGTAAAAGAATCTCTGAATAGCATCTTTTGAAAGTGAGAATTCTGTCAAGAATTCTCTCTAGATTCAGATCCTGCCTGTACTATTTACTCTTGAGCAAGAGAGCTAAGCCCCTTAATCCTAAAACAAAAAACAAAAACCCCACCAAGGTATGAAGAAAGATGGGTATCAACCCCAGGGGTGGCCTCGCCTTCTCAGGTGTCACACATCGTAGACTTTCTCACCTGATCATCCATTCTTCTCCTTCTCTGCCTGGCTGCCAGGGCAGAGAGCTGCAGCCCAGGCTGATAGCTCCCCTCCAACGAGGAAGCTCCCCCAAGCCTGTCATTCAATGGCCCCTGTTCAAATTGGGCTCTTATCACAACTAAGAATTCTGACGACTGCATTATCTTATTGTTGAAAAAAAGGAAAATCACTGGCATTTGGAAGTCTGATAAATTGAGGAGACAGTTGGTTCTGGTTCGAGTTAAGAGCCCCGCCCCGAGTGCTCGCAGGAGCCCGCACTCACCTCCTCTGCCCCAGCTCTCCAGTCGCCTGCGTCCTTTGTGTCTCCCGCGGGGCTGTGAGCTGCTCCCCAGCCCCAAGGGGCACAAGTGCGGCTCAGGCTGAGAGAGCAGAGGATCAGTTCCCATTTCCACCTGGGGCCCAGGCCCAGCCCTTCCACCCCCAGCGGGGAGCCTCTTCAGATTTAACCTCTCTAGATTTCACTTTCTTCATCTACAAAATAAGGAATTGAGGGAAAGGAGCTCCAAGCCACCCCTCGCTGCTTTCCCTGATCCACAGGCATCTGTGTATGTGTGTTAAAGCAACCAGGGCTGAGAGGCACTGGCTCATGGGTTGCTTTTGAGCGCAGCTGGAAAGGGTTGCCTTGGTGGAGAGCAGGAGCGGGACAGGGCTTATGCCACGCGCGCCTGGCTCTCCCCTGCCCTCTTGGAGACCAGGGGATACCGGAGGTGGTCTCCCGCCGCATCCAGGACAGGGCGCTGGGGATGGGGAGTGAGGTGGCCTGGGAAGCGGGAGGCCAGGGGCATCACCTCACTTCTCTGGGCTTAAATTTGTCTGGGGATGAGAGGAGATGCTGAAATTACCCCCGAAGCATTCAGCTGCAGGCACACGGTGGCCTCCTTTCCTCAGGATGCCAGCGTCTCTACCTCCTGCTCAGAGGGGAGCCTGCCAGCAGGCCCACCCTGATCTGGTTTTTAAGTCTATGTTTTCCATATATTTCATTTTCAAAACGCTGTCTGCTTGCTAAAAGACTGGATTTGCAAGTCAGCTTTGTAAAGGGCAAGCTCTTTACTCCCGTGCCAAAAACAAAATAAAAAAACGCTTTTTCAACTCCGCGTTACGGTACAGCCTAAGCTCCTTGGCTTAACATCCAAGGCCTCTCCAGATGTGGCATCTGCTGCTACTCCACACCCTGCACGTTCCAGCCACCCGGAACAATCTGTGGGTTCCGAGAGCACCGGGTGCTGCGTACCTTCACCTCGCTGCGGGTCGTTCCCGCCACCTGCAATGCCGTGCCACTCTGACTGAAGTCCTAAAGGAGCCCCTCCATCCATCCTCAGAGCCCTGACATCTCCCCGGACCTCGTCTCAGACGTTTCCGGGTGGAAGTGATCCTGCTTCTGTGTTGTTCGGTCCCTTACGCGCCTCACAATGCAGATCACACTGCTGATTTGTAAGCACTGTGGAGGGACGCCTTCGGATTCAGATACACGTGGTCCAAGCCCAGCTGCCCCTCCCAGGGCTGCCTGTGAAGTTAAAGTATTTGCCCGGTGGAGCTGTCGGGAGGACCTGAGGGGCGGAAGCGCCCGGCCCAGGGCCGAGCTCCTGGCGGGGTTGGCCGCCCAGGGGGTGCTGGGCTGTAGGGCGTGTGACCCTTGCCGCCGGACCAACCTGCGGGGCTGCGGGGAGGGGGCGGGGTGTGGGGAGCGCGGGGAGGCGAGGGCGCCGGATGGCGGGGAGCAAGACCCCTTGCCCTCCTCCACCGCGTACTCAGGCCCCTGGCGTTTCTTCAAGTATCCGAAGGGGTCACAGGCACCTGAAGGGCCTTTCATCTTAGTCTTAACGATCCTCAGGTTGATAGATTTACTTTAAAATTGTATTGAAAAGAGACTCCTTTTGGTGAATGCACCCAGGCTTTTCGGCAACCCCACCCACACAGCTAAATGTAGGCGGTGGCAGGGAACCAGGGGCCTAAGTCCCACAGCCCTTTTTTAAAGAATAGAAAGCGCCCCCACGCTTGGGCGGCTCCCGCGACGCCCCAGCCCTGCCCTGGGGCCCTGCGAGGCAGGCCCAGAGACCCCGTGGCCTCCGGCGGGGCGCGGCTTCCCCAGCGTCGCAGTGCCATCTGGTGGCCGCCGCCGGCCGCTCTCCCACTCCCCGGACCGCCGGAGGGAACGCGGGTCCCGGGCGGCGGACGTTGCCGGGCACTGTGGCCTCCCGCCTCGTGCGGCCAGAAGTGAAGCTTGGGACTGAACAGACCCACGTGTTGTCAGCAGCTTCCCGCTGTGTGCACTGGAGGGGGTTTCTTCTCTGCTAAGCAGCGCTACCAGTGCCACTACTGGGATGCCGGACAATTAATAGGGCAACTCGACTAGCACGGAAACTGGAGAGCCCGCTTTCCATTTAAATTGATTTCTTTTTTCTCGCTAAGGTTTATTTATAAAGGAAGCTACTTTAGCCTCATCTGAAGTAACTCTTTTTTCAATGGGTGTTAAGAAACATAGGTATTAAAATTGGAAAATGAAAATTTCCTCCGTGTGCCATCCTTGGCAACAACAGTATGTGGCATCAAGTCTGGAACCTGCACCTGCTCAAGTGCTCCTCCTCGATCTCCTGCCGACTCCCGTATTCCCACCGCAGTCGCCCTCACCTGTCCTGCCCGGAACGTGGTGACACCGGGATGCCAAAGCCCCCAATGGGTTGCGTTTTGTTCCTCAGGTTACTACTTGCCTAGTAGAGATCTGAACTTGGAAAAATGAATTTCATTGAAGTTTCCTGCCCTTCTTATTTCTGGTCATTCTGGGAGAAGAAAGACAAAACCTTGGCAGAAAGCAAGGTGGGTAAACAAATACCTAAAACCAGAATGATTCTGAGCCCCTGAACTCATGTAACTGGAGATTGTTTATTCAGTTCCCTAACAAGAAAGATGGGAGTTTGCTCTCAAATTTTGGTTCCCCACTGTTCAAATGCACACAGGTTGTTCAGCTGCTGATCTCAAATGGAATGTTAGAACCGTGTATCTCAGGTACCTGGCAGTTAGATCTAAATGCCAAAACAATACCTAGAGACAATGCCTCTGACTCTTGCCGTCATGTTGCCAGGCCTCTCTGCCCAGCATTGCTGTAGGAACGACAAATATTTCTGGCCAAACACTGGCCAGATTTACAAAACAGCCCAACATTGCAGCCACAGCGCAAGTCTATTAAGGCTAATGCACTCACTAGGTAATTCTAATATAGGGCAAGTGCTGGGATTTCTTAGTAGAGAGCTCCCTGGGCATATGTTCAGCTATACGGTCCTTTCAGTGCCACTGGACATGGCCAGCAGCCCCGTTCCCGGCTCGCCCTGCTTCCAGGATCTGGAGGTCTACCACTTCTCTCTGATATGGAAATAACCCTATTTGTTTGTTGTTAAAAAATAACTCAAACGTGTTTGTAAAGGTTTTGGCAATACACAAGTGTATTAGACAAATGAGAAGTCCTCTTAACTCCACCCCTAGCCTCTAATTCAGGTGCCTCTCGAAGATGCTTCCCCCACAATCACAGTGAATGAATTATTAGGTCCAGTCTCAAGTCAGACCAGCCAGGCCAAAGCTGGGCAAACATAAGCTGCTTCCCTCTTAACAGGATGTGAGGCTGTGGTAAGTGGAGGGCAAGAAAGCCATTCAGGAATTCAGAACCTCTTATTCTTTACTTCTTGGGTCTCTAAAAGAGAACTGATGAATTCCAACAGAGCTGGTAGTTCAGGTTCATAGCTAATGGGTTTAGGGTTCCAGAGCTGGCTTCAGGAGGCTGACGAAACCCGAATCCTCGTTACCGTCCCACTCGTTGTCCAGACCTACTTCTTCCCTAGGTTTATTATAGTTTAAGCAACTGGTTCAAACTTTGTTAATCTTAGTGCCCATTCCACCATAATTCATGGACCCAAAATAATGAAGTACACAAAGAATCTTGTTTACAGATCCTAGATCCCCTGGGCTCGGGAGCATCCAGCTTTATGAAATTGGTCTCCCACCCATCCCTACCATGATACTTGAGACACTGCAAATTCAGATTCTTGAGGCCCAGGTCAGGGCTGTGGCAAACTGAAGGGTGTAGGCTCAAAGGGCTGTCACCTGGTGGGACTGAGAATCCAGTGTTGCCGGATTTGGGGACTTTGTGATAAACCACACATCTGGATTTATGTTAGACATTCTGATTTTGACTGGCAATTAGTTTGCTTATATATACAGGGCATGCCGGAACCACTTCTGGAAGGAAGCTAGTTTGCTGGGCAGATGCAGTGAGCACTTACTAAACATTGGCTGCTATTACTATCCCAAAGCCTAGTGGAGGAGCCTGGTTCCATGTATTGCCGGCAAATATGGTGCAGCCTCGACTCTAATAAATTCAAAAGTCCCTGACATCCACCTCCACAAGTGATGGAGTGTTTTCTCATGTTTTATTTGAACTGGTGGAGTCACCTGAGGGCTCCTGTGTTCATGTAACTTCCTGGAGATGCAGCTCTTTCTGTGGAGTCCTCAGCTATTCTAACAGCTATAAACCGGGACCCTGACTGCATTCTTTTGAACAGCACCTTCTCTCTCTCCCCATAGTCCCAGGGCCACACCAGCATGGGAGAGCCCTATCTGCCTCTCCAGTGGCCTGTGGTTCTTGTATTCAAGTAACTGGCTGTGGCCATTTTTGTCTCATATGCAAGAAGCCTATAAAAGCAATGCTTTGGTTAGCAATATCAGTTGTTCTTCCTAGATCTAATGCAAAAAGTAGCAGTGATAAAAGGATCCCGCAATGCGTGCATTTTACTAAATTTCACCTAGGAAGAGGTGCAGGGTCTGCTGGGGAGAGGACAGTTCAATGAGGAAGAGAAATATCAGTGTTTAGTGGCTCTCATCCCCTGGGAAGCTATTCAAATCTCCAAGGGCCCAGGAATCCATATTCTAATTGAGGTGATTCTAATTTGCAGCCAGGGTTGAAAGGCTTGCTGGGGGGTCAGATAATTACAGGGGAGGCCTTCACCATCGCACCAAGGCAGAGCCATCCTTGAACATTGGTTGATGTCCACAAAGGAGGTAGTTTTTCATTTACTTTTTCAACTTTCAGTAAGTGAGCTAAGCTAGTTGTTCTAAGATAAATGTTAAGCTAAAACAAGGACAAAAACTGAAGAGTTAAAGTCATAACCACAGACTCAGTCTTAGCTAAACAAATTAGTACTGGGCTGCCAGCAGCAGCCTATTTCTTGAGTCTTTCTTGCTTCTGTCCTGAAGCTCTTCCCTCCGTTTTGCTCATTGAAGGGCTGGCTGCCTCTGGAGGAACTGCTGCTGCCCCTCCAACCTCCACACGGCTTGGATGGGGATGGGCTTTTTCTGATGCAGATCTGGGCTTGTCCTTCCTGGGAGTCCTTCAGTGACTCCTCTTTTTAAGACAAAGCCCCCCCCACCAGGTAGCACTCTAGGCCCTTAAGGATGTGGCCCCTGTGCACTGTACTCCTCACCATTCCTCAGACACTTAAAACTTTCCCTGCCATCCAATGGTCTCTACCCCTTCCCTTTGTCTCAATTCTTCTTCCTGTCAAATGTCACTCATCTTCCTCCCCCTGCTTCTCAGGGCCCTGGCGAGAAGCCTCTTCTGGCTCCCTCAAATCTTGGGCAAATGCTGGTGCTGCTGGTGGGCCACACCGGGGGCTCAGCGCAACTCCTCATAGTGCGGCAGGGCTGCGCACTGGGCTTCACTAGTCACTCCTCTTCCTCCTCAGTAACAGCTGGCACATGTGGGACCGACTTCATTTCTCAGCCTCCTTTTCTGCTAGAAGTGGACATATAACTCTGTACTGGTTAGAAGGATATTAGCCAAAGTGCTATGTGGAACTTCTCTGAATTATCCCAAGAGAAGGGAGGCATACCTCTCTCTTCTTCTGGCTTGAATGATGGCATGCCTGGGCTCCAGCTGCCACCTGGGTCCATGTGATGGTTTTGGAAATGGAAACCACACCTGGTAGAAATATAAGAACTGAGGTCTAACATTGCAACGGGCCTGTCCTGCCTCTGCCAGACTACAACTTTCTGAAGACAGGAGAGAAATAAACTTTAAGCCACTATTTTGAGAATATCTGTGATAACCAAGCCTATTCCCAACCAACGTCCTCCCCGTCATTGCCTTGTGCCTCTCGTGTGTGAATCTGGGCAGAGTGACACAGGGGGTTCCAAACGAATTCTGGCTGTACAGGTCCTCACCTCCTACAATGGCTGTGGGGCTCACCTCTATGGTTGGAGCACGTGTCCAGGAGTGCCCCAAGGACTGACCCCCAGCCGCCCCCACTACAGGGCCAGAGTGAGAACCTCCCTGGTAGGGGACTACCGTTTTCATCGTTTTTTCTAGCCCCTGGTACAGAATCCACTACTGTTTATAAACACTGGAAAGTTTTTCTGAAGGAAGCAAGAGTGTATCTAAAATAAGTGTTGCCCACCTCAGGAAGACCGAGGGAGCCAGCACAGGCCAGGTCTGTGCCCATCTCCCGAGGAGCACCAGGACCCCCTCTCCCCGCAGAGCTTAGTCTCTCACATACTCATGGACATATTTCCAGGTGGCAGTCCAGGACCGTCCTTGTCATTCTCAAATGAGAACTGTGACCTCACAAGAATTTAGAGTCACTGCACTGGGAAAACTTCTAAAACTAAAATCATTTTTAAAGCTTAAAAATTACTTACTTGCTTTCCACTAAAGTACCTCCTTAACATTTTTAAAAAGTCTGAACATTTTTTAGAAAGTAATAACTTGCTCAACTTTACCTGTCCTTGAAAATAAAAATTTTAACATTTAAATATGCTTGTATTTTCCCCACCTATTGTAAGCTCCTTTTCAAAAAATAGGATTTTTAACTGAGAAATATTCTTGAAATGGTAATAACACGAACAGAAGGAACTATGATGAAAACTGGAGCCAACTTTTATCATTCAGCTTAATAAACCCGGCTCTGGAATGGATATATTCTAAAAGCTGGCTGGCACTGGGCCTATTAGAGGTGGCTGGTCTCCAGCTGCATGGCTGTAGATTAGTTACATGAATTGCTGCTCCCTTAGTTATGTTCCTGTTTGTGTTGTGTCAATACCTGATAAACCTCTTTTGTCTAACTTAAAAAACAGATGTAATAAGCATTCAGTTTCATTCAATAAATCCATTCAACTTACCATCCCCTAGAAAATGCAGGAGAAAGCAAATGCAGGATGTGAGAAAGCACATCAAAGACGTACAGCGCACTGGGCAGGAACAGGAGCACACGGCGACTGGATTGGCAATCTTATGCCACAAGAAAAGGGAAATTACTTTGATTTATTGTTGTCTCTGCTTTTCCAGTATAACTATATTATAAGTAGCCATAAAGTGCCACCTTCTGGTTTAAATCTGTGTAACATCTCTTTTATTTCTTTTTAAATGTCATTTTATGGTGGATGTAATAAAGCAACAGCAGCAGTTACAAAATGTTGTCTGTAATTTTGAGAGCTCCAAACAAAGATCTGTGTATAGGCTGAATAAAAAGATGTTCAATTAATAGTGTGACAGTGTAACAAACATCTTTAGTTGGAATTTCAGTGTAAACCTTAATAGAGATGTGACTCACAGAGACCAAAGTAAAATACCTTTTCTTTTTATGGTTTAGTGAGGTGGTCTGCATTCTTGCAAACATTTACAAAGTACAAGAAACATCACATGTGAATACTAGGCATAAAATATTTCTTTTTTTTCTTACAGAAGGAGCAGCAGGGGACAGGGAGCCTAGTGAATGCCCTGTCACCACTGTTCCCAAAGATGCACACCCCCAAGAATGGCAGTGGAAACATGGCAGCAGCAAGCCACCCTTACAATTCTTTTTGGTGTTTTAAAATACAAGCACTCTCTGACATTTCCCTCCTAGGCCCATGAGCCCCACTCTGACTTGGCAGGATACAGGCCCATGTCTTCTTGCTTAGTTTTCCCCTTAGAATTATTTACAGGACACCTACAGATACGGTACAAACTAGTATGAAATTATGATAGTTTGCATTTCCAGACACGCTCCTACAGTTAAGTAAGAAGCACACCAAGCCAATTACAAAGACCGGTTCAGAGTCACGGTGACTCAGAGGCATTCGCATCGGTAACTGCAGACACAGGCTTCTCGCTGGCTGGGGTGGGTTCGCCTCCTCTGTCCTCGGCCATGGTGGAGGCTGCGGGTGCAGGGGGATGCACTTCCCCAGTGGGAGCAGAGGCAGCATCTGCCCTCGTAGCAGTCGTGACTGGGCCGGCGGGCGGGCTGCCAGTGGGCGGGAGGGTGGACAGCAGCTCCCCAGAGCCCACTGCAGAAGAGGCCTCTGGAACCAAAGGGAATGACGAGAGGAATTCAGACGGTACGGGGAGAGATGCAATGCCCGGTAAGCTTCGGGTAGGCAAGGGGGGAAGAGGTGGCAAACCTAGGACAAAAATGGCAGAGATCATACATCCTTTCAGCATTGTAAGAGCAGCAGTTATGAGCATGTGACTTTTTTTCTCCTTTTCATTAAGGAAACTGCAGCCACAGAGAGACAACACAAATCACAACCTCTGCTTCTCGTCAGCTGGAGGCCAGGACAGAGTAAAATACTGACTGGCCAAGAGGGAAAGTCCCTGCCTCTAGGCTCCAAAGCCTCTGTGTGACTCAGCCCAGCCCCGGGAAGAAACAATTCTCCTCCCAGCAGGCACAAACAGAAGCCTGGCCAGCAGCTCACTGTCAAGACAGGAGAAGTCCTGCTCACCCAGGCAGGCTACAAGCTGCATTACCACTGCCCTCCAGACAGACAGCATGAAGAGATGTGGTGCCAGCCCTCCTGTGAAGGCTGCGGAAGTGAGGGGCTTGCCATGTAGCTGCCTGCATTAGCCTAACCGTAAGTACTTCACCTCTGCTTAAGCCTGCAATTGACTGATAACTATTTGTATTATATGCAGTGGGTTTACTGTGATGATTTAAAAATGCAAAATGAAGGAAAAGCGTGTAACTTCCTTAAGAAACAAAGGAAAGGCAGACAATACATCAGGTTCAGGGCAACCGCTGGGCTGGTGAAAGCTGCAATGCTCTTAGAGTCTGGCTGTCAATGTGGGGAAAGGGTAGAAGCAGCCAGACCACAGAACACAAGGGAAAAGACAAAGGGAGAGTTAAGACAGAGACCGTTTGCATTTACTCATCTTCCTTTGGTTTTTAAACCATTAAGCTGAAAAGTGAATGGGTTATTGAGGACACGTAATGAATATATACAGATGGTGCATGTTACAAGAGCAGTCATCATCTAAACAGAAACCTGACAATGTACACCTTGTGCAGTAAGATTACTCACATCAGTGATGGGCCAAACTACTGAGATTAGCATTTAAAAGTCAGGCCTGACACGCAGCCATCTGAAAGTCAACGGGCAATCAAGCATTAACTGGAAGGGCAGACTTTTCATGGTGCATAAAATCTGAGTGTCAACACTTTGAACATTGCTCACTTAACTATTTGCAGCTAAAATCTCTCACAGTTTTTATTATAAAAAACATGTTAATCATGGAGAATTTTTATTAAAAAAAAAAAAAGTCCAATTGGCTGAGCAAGGGTGACGTTTCAGAGCCTAAGTTCACAAAACACACCCCACTGGTAGCAGCTGCCCAAACACATGAAGAATCATGATGAGTTCATTCCCCACCACTGGGCAAGCTGTGCGCGTCCTGGGCAGTTCAGTTAGTATGCCACTCACTGTCTGTACTCTTTACTTCTGGAACTGGCCTTTATGAGCTGGTGCCGGGTGAGGACAGGCAGCCAGGCAGACGAGACTCATAAAGACACTCTTGTTCCTTTTCTTTTTTAAGCTTTTCAAATAAAAGATTAATATTTATTTGAAGCAGGTGAAATTTGTTCAACTGATCTGCCCTTTTCAGAAAAAACTGAAATAGAGGATTGGCTTTCCTGGATAACACTTTTTATTAAACAAGAGTCCTAGGAAGGCAAGATGGGAAACATACCTGGGGTCACAAGCTCTGGCAAGCCAACACCTGGTAAGACAGATGGTGAGGGGAGGTTGAGGTTGGGGAGGGTGGGTAAGTTGGGCAGTCCTGCTGGCAAAGGCATCAGACCTGAAGAGAAGGCAGAGAACAGGAGGTAAATCACTTCCTCTGGGAAAAAGTCAATCCTGTGTACTGAAAAAAATACTAGCCATTTCAAAGTGGGAATGCCAGCGGCCCACTGGCTGCGTGTCAGGTTTGTATCTTGACCGCATTACCAGTAATGACAAATCTGCACCTAAGTGATTAGACGGCAGAGGGGCAAAGGGCTGGAACACATGCACCACTGCCGGACCCCAAAGCTAGAGCAATGGCAGCTGGAGGGGCCTGGTGGAGGGCTGATTTACCTCAGCAAGTGCGGCAGTCAGTGGGACTGAATTTTTCTTTTGACAGTATGGTTTATAATCTCTAGCTTTTTCTTTTTTTAATTCTGAAAAAATTTTAGATTTATGGCTGCAAAAGTAGTTTATATAAAGAAACCCTGTATTATACCTTTCACTGAATTCCCCAAACGTTAACATTTGACCACATTTACTTTACCATTCTGTGTATGTACACATTTGGTTAATAGCTTAATATATCTGTGTAGTGCTTGCTTCGGCACCACATATACTAAAATTGGAATGATACAGATAAGATTAGCATGGCCCCTGCGCAAGGATGACACGCAAATTCGTGAAGCCTTCCATATCAAAAAAAATATATATATATATGTATATATATATATCTGTGTAATGACATCTTTAGCCATATAATTAAAGGCACTTGAAATGCAAGTGTATTTGATAATTATCTAATTATTATGTTAGAGTTAAAGGTCTAAATAAGGATTGTTCTCTTCAGGACACAATGTCTATTCACATAAACAACTATCACAAAGCCCTAAGTAGGGAAGGGCTGAAAACGAAACCCTTACACACACTTACTCCCACTTCCTGCTACGCTTCGGGAGTAGTCGGCTGGGGGCAAGGAGCCCAACGCTCAGCAGCTGACTGGCTGGTGACTAACGGCTAGTTGCCACTTGCTCTCATTTAGCACAAAATTACAGCAGAGATAAAATCAAGATTAAAAGATATAAATCACCCCATCAGTGTAAAATTTTTTTCACTGTTTTTAAGATTCAAACTAATGCTATTATTATTATTACTCCCATCTCTAGTCTCCTGATACTTACCTGGTAATGTAGGAGCTGGGCTCATTGGTGACATGGAAGTGAGGGACTGGGTTACTTGTGGTGACAACAATGGTACTGTTGGTACTCCTAAAATAAAAGCACAACCGTCTAAAATTTTCTAACAATTTTAGCTGACAAAGTATGAACAGACAATACTGAGACAGCCTTCAGTCCTCTCCCCTCCCTGCCACGGTCAGATTTTCATTCAGTCCTGGATTCTGGCTGCATCATTCTGTCCAAGCTGATCTAGCTACTCTCCCCATGGCCCTTACAAAGACTGTTAGTAATTTGGGCCAAGAGGTAGGGAGCTAACCCACGCCAGCTAAATGCACTAGACAAGAGTTTTACACCTGAGCAAAGCAGGGATAGATTAGAAAACTGTTTTAGAAATTTTAGAAATGAGATGCAAGGATTCTGGTCTTTCTATTGGGTTCCTGAACTAAGAGCTCATGTAAAGCTGGGCTGCTGCAGGGCCACATGCCTGTGACAGAGGAGAATGATGCAAATGGCCTGGAGGAGACAGAAGAGCAGTGGACCTCCAGAGATGGAGACAATGGCTTGGATTTCTGAGTCCCCACTTCCTTCTGACCTTAGGTTCTCTGACACTCCTGTCAAGTCTAATGCATCCGCACTTTCACTGATGGTCGCTTGAGGAGGTGATGATCTTCATATACAAGTAATTCTTAGGATGCCACCTAATAGAGTATCTATTAATGTTTACCACCTACTCATATGGGAGGTTTTGCTGATGTACATTTTGCTGATGTACTGTTTGCTGATGTACAAACAGTAATACTGCACACCGCTTCTGGACTCTTACACAGATCTACCTTCAAGGTTAGAGCCGAGAGGCATTTCACTGTCTGAAGCCACTGCTGCTAGTCCTGAAGTGGTGCAGTAGACCCTGGGAATGTTTTTTCTGAACTGGGCTACTTTGCAACAATATAATTAGAAGCGAAGATGGAAAAATTAATGCCTAACAGAAAGTGGTTTCTCACGTCATGATGTTAGAACATTTGAGTTTTTTTAAACTAATCTACTCAAAGTGAAAATGTTGATTTATTTCAGTCTCTTGAGCAATTACTGCTTTATTTTCATTTATGTCTCTTAATATTTGGAAAGCCATTTCTCTAAGTGTAATTAGGCAGGGATCTCAGTGCACATGCTTCTAAGACAATACAAGTCAAACTGTAATGTAATGAGAGAGGATTTAAAATGTTAAAAGAAACTGGAGCTTGAAGAAAGATGTCAGCTATCTCCTAAAATAAGATGAGCTTTCATATGGCACTGGAACATTCTTACTTTAAAACAGGTAAGAGTGTTACAGACACAGAAGAGCTGTTGCCTTACAAATTACTCCAACCCACCTTGACTGAATCCATTCAGGAATAAACTAGAGGACCATCTGATGGGATGTAGTAAAAAATTTGTAATAAAAATCATAATAAAAGGATTATGATTTTTAAAATAAATTTGTAATAAAAAATCAAATAAAATAGGACTCAAACACTGCCTGAATGAAATAAACTTTAAAATCCCTTCCAAATATATCTACGACTTGATAATGATGATATTAATATTAAATTTCATCTAGGAAATGTTATAAAACTGGATTGTGGTGATGACCTGACAACTCCATGAATTTACTAAAAATCAATGAGTTGTATACTTATAGCTGATTTTATGGCATGCAAATTATACCTCAATAAAGCTGGAAAAAAACCCAGGAAAGAGTAGGGGGTGGGAAGCTATGTCACCATACCAATAACTGGTGAAGCTGGGTAGTGGGAGTTTGTTATATTATTCCATCTACTTTTGTCTATGTTTGAAATTTTTAATTATAAAAAGTTAAAAATTTAAATTTCATATAGAAAAAAACCCATCTTGGGAAATAAAATGAAGGTTCTGTAAAGAGCTGAGATTTGAACCTAGGGAACCTACTCCGAAGATCATACTGGTGGCCTTAACTGCATCTTGGTGGGCTATTTTAAGTCCATTTTAGGACAAAGTGGTGTATAAGCAAATTCTGAATATAAAAATTAAAAAGAGCACAACAGTAAAAAGTATGAATGAAATAAAACTAAATTATGTCAGTATTTCATTTATTTTTTCAATACTAATTAAGTACATAATATACTCTTTGTATTAAGAAAGCCAGAAGTGCTCACTTCAGCAGCACATATACTAAAATTGGTACAATACAGAGAAGATTTGCATGTCCCCTGTGCAAGGATGAAACACAAATTCATGAAGCATTCCAAAAATAAAAACAAGGAAAGAAAGCCAGAAAACAGGAGATTTTTAAAAAGAAAAGGGAGAAATAAATTCTACCAATAAGTTAAGGTCTATATTATGCGACCAAACAATTACACTCCTAGGTATATAACCAAGAAAAATGAAAACATACGTCCATGCAAAAACTTGTACACAAATGTTCACTGCAACAGTATTCATTAGCCGAAAAGTAGAAACAACCTAAATGTCTCTAACCTGATGAACAGATAAACAAAATGTGGCTTAGCCATACAATGGAACATTAGTCAGCCATAAAAAAGCAGGAAGTATTCATATATGCTCTGACATGAATGAACCTTTAAAACTCTACTCCAGATGAAAGAAGCCAGACACAGAAGACCACACATACACGAATGTCTAGGCAAATCCACAGAAAGAGAAAGTAGATTAGTAATTGCCTAGGCCTGGGGGTTGGGGGAAAATAGGGAGTGACTAATAATGGGTACAGGATTCCTTCTAGGATAATGAAATGTTCTAACATCAACTAAGGTGATGGCTGCACAATTCTGCAATTATACTAAAAACCCCTGAACTGTATACTTCAAATGGGTGAGCTGTATATGTGATTTATATCTTGATAACGCTGTTGGGAAGAAAAAAAAAAAACCTAAAACAAAAAGGACTATATCAGGTAGAACAAAGAATAAAGCAAAGGAGACAGACACCTGTGCCGTGAGCAAGACCGAGTCTCTAGGAAAAGGAATGGACTACTCCCGCTCACATCTGTATCCCTAGGGTCTAACACCGGGGGATATACAAACATCTGTTGAATAAATAGAATTAAAAAAATTTAAAGGCAGAATCCTGACTCTACACCTTGTATAATCTAAGAGAAGCCCAGGGTCTAAGATACACCAAGTAGAGGTTTAAATGCTGACCCTGTGTGTACATGCTGGTGATTTAGTGTCAGCTTTCCTGGATAGGTCCTGTGTCAAGGCTGAGCACAGTTAGTTTTCAAAGTACACAGGCATTAATTTTTAAATTTTAGACAGTTTGAGATGGAAGAGTACCATGTAAAACAAAGCAGACTGAAAAGAGAATATATTTTTCTGCACACCTGTACTGAGAACATTACTGACAACCGGTGGAGTTGAGCTAATGGAAAGTCCAGACAGACCCTGTTCAATTTCTGTAGCTCCTGGTGGTGACAGAGTTGGGGCATTAACTGAGGAGAGCTGCACCTTCCAAAAAAAAAAAAGAAGAATCAGCTGAACATCTTTAATACCATGTCAGATACCTTGAGTTTCACAAATGTCTAACCTCAAGAGGCCATCTTCTTGTCAATGAATGAACATAGCAGCCAGATCTCTACCTTCCAGGGAGGGAATTGAGTCTACATGGACCCTACAGATGGGTAAATGGGCAATTTCACCTCTGAATACTCCAACTTCTGCCAGCTCAGTGCCCTCTGGCATATTCTGATATCACTTGTATTCTGGCCCTTTTCCTTAGCTGCCATTTCACTCTCTGGTCTTCTTAGACTGCCTACGGAGGTTCATCTGGGCCAGAAAGTACCATTTAGAAATGGCAGATATGGTAGTAAAAGTGAATATACAACTATACTGACTCTGGCTGTGAGCCAGTGGTGGGGGGTGGGAATGAGAAGAGGTTATACTTCTCTGTAGCTCTTCTTTATCCCCTCTAGAAGTAGGAATGGCCAAACTGTATACCAAGAAATGATAGCAGCAGCCCTTTCTTTACAAGTGTAGCATTTCCTTTTTGGACGTTTGATATTTATTTAGTCAGGTACACAAGAGTTAATGATCCTGTAAGGGTTGCCTAAGAAACACTTTAAAAGCCTATAAGCCTGTGCAAATGTCTGTTACTACTTAAAAAAACCTCACATTCCTTAACAAGATCCTGTATTACCCCCTACACATCTATCTTTGCTTCCTCAGTCAATTGCTTCAAAGAGTGATAAGCACCAGCTACCATCCCCTTATCAGCCACCATTTCATCCTTTATCACATCATTCGGTATCTGCACTGGGTCAAGTCTTTCCAATCGCTCTAGCCCAGGTCAGGTTTTCCTCGCTCCCTATCTCACCTGACTCTTCTACAGTGCGTCACATGGCCATGTGAAGCTCTGTCCTCCCTCTGGGCTTCTCTCAGGCTTCCTCTGTTGGATCCTCTTTCTCTACCCATCCATTTAAATATTAAGAATGTTCAAGATTCTGACCTTAGTCCTCTGTAAAGCTATCCCAATAGCAAGTAAGTGTTATTGTTCACTAGGTTAAATTACCCTCACTTTGCCGATGTCTGTATTTCTATTCTGTATCTCTAAGCTTTGTCCTCTTCCCTAAAATCCAGGCCCACAGGCTATCCGTCTGCACATCCCACAGGGACTTCCTCTTCAACATGGTCAATACTTAACTCCTCATCTGCCCTATTTCAATTAGTGCCACCACCACACATGTCAACAATTGTCTTGTTTTGGTGGAAACATTCTGATATAATCAGACAGTAAAGTTATCTTACCTCTGTAAACCCATCTTTAAGAGGAGTAATAGGTGTACCAGTTATTTGTCCCGGAAGAGAAATTTTCTTTCCTTCTTCAAATGGGCGTGTAGGTATTCGATGCAAATAACCATATCCAATGCCACATCCTAGACTATGAAAATAAATATTTTTTGTAAACCTTTTGTTATCAGTAACAGCTTGCATTTCTTTGAAGTTTTGAAATATAAAAACAAATGTCTATGCTTTCAAATAGTGTCATCTTATCAGAGGTCCCCCTGACCACACTTTGAGACAGCACCCTTCCCTCCAGAGACATTACCCTCAATATCCTTCACTTTTCTTCAAACATTCATATCACCGTCCAACACCATTGCCTATTTATTTCTTTCTCCCCAATAAATGTTAAGATCCTTAAGGGCAGAGATCTTGTTTTGTTTACTGCCTTAACAATTTCTGGCACATGGAAGACACTTGGTAACTATTTGCTGAGTGAATGACATACAGCCTTTCCACTGAAAAGCTCTCAGCACTTCAGTATGATGATGTTATGTTATTTAGTTCTATTTTATAACCTGACACAAAATGATCCAAATTAATCCAGATTCCTTCTAATTCATTCTCCCACTGCCACCAAAGGCATCTTTCTAATAAGATACTATCATGCTGCTTTTTTCCATACTCTGTTGGTCTCCCAATAATCCTGTTTCCTTCTTCCCTTAGGAGAATTACATCTCTACCACTGTGTGCAGTGCTGGTGGGACTGTCAATCGAGGCCTGCCCTGTTCAAACCAAGCAGTGGCTCATGACCAAAGCCAGGCTTGCCCACCTCTTGCCCATGGCTGCAATCTTGAGAGTGACAGAAAAAAAAGAACAGCTTCATCCCTTTAAAATATTGATGAAATTGGCAATTAGTCCTTCCTCTCTAATTCCCTAGAGATGTTCTGAGTCCTATTCTTTCCAAGTCTGATTCTCTAGTTGTTTCTCTATTATGAGTGACTCCATAGCAATAAATTTACGTCTACTTGTGAGAATGACAACTGGTTTCTACTGTCTGGAACCAAAGAAACCCAGTGATAAAATATCAGAGTCCCACTGCTCAAAGTACAACCAAATCCTGACTGTGATATTTAAGGCCCTTCCCAATTAGGTCCAACTTATGCTTCCATCATGATGGCTTTTATTTCCCCAAATACTCAACACTTTCTGAGACGGCCATGCACAGGTATTTGTGCCTCTCCCCTGACAATGCATCTTATTATTTCCATGGGTACTATGGCCACAAAAAGCTGGGGGAGCAGGCAGTGGCCAACTTCAGCTATTCCTTATCCACATTTAATTCCACAATGATGCTCCATATTACAAATTGCCTCATTCCTTTTCTCACTTTTCCTCCCTTCTACCATCAAAACTGCAATTTTCATTGAACTAGGTCTCAGATTTAGAGGAAGAAGGAAAGATTAAATAATTTATACTGATTAATGACAACCTTTAAGAGGCAGCTGCGCTTTAAAACTAGGTGCTTACTAGATAAAATAACTAAGTGGTAGTTGGTGGTGAAGGCACTTGAGGCAACAGTAAGATGCCTCTGCAAGTTTAAAGATAGCCCAAAAATGAGAATGAAACTAAGAGAAATGAGCTGCAATGAATGAAATGTAGTCAGTTTCTGAGGAAGGAATGAAAACCAGAGGCACACATATGCAAAATGAGGGCAGACTCAGGAAAATAGTCTGTATAGGCTCGTCTAAAGTCAATAGCTCATCAATAGTACTAAACCATGGAAGGAAAAATATTTTCCAAAGAAAATGAGTAATTCCCCGAATTTAGAAAAGGAACTCCAAGAACACCACAGTATTTAGTCAGCATAATTAAATGTCAAAGAACCAGTGTCCCCGTTGCTGCAAGACTTCCCCTGGGGGAGGGGGGGGGTTCCTCCTTGCTGTCTCCCTGCTCACCAGACACTCCTATGCAACTGATCGACCTGAGTATTCCTTTAACTGCAGAGGGGCGATTTTTCTATTGTAAACTAAAAATTTGCCATTCTAACAAATACAGTAGCTTCTTTGCAAACTCAGTTTATATGAGTCTTTGAATACTTTGATAAGATCATATGGCTGTGTTTACAAACCTGGACAATGATAACCTGATCACATAACTGCCCCAGACAGGTCAGATCCTTAAGATAACACCTCTAACTCATTTTCTCAAGTTGCAACAACAAAGCATTCTGGTGGCAACATATATATGGTCAGCTGTAGAATCTCAGGTGGTGTGGCTCAACGTATTGTGAACAAATAGTCTTTCTTTGCCTACAAGAACTAAGTCACTCTCTCCCAAGCAAGTGCTGGAACTTTTACAAAACATTTGGAAAAGTTTCCAAACCCAATTTAAACAACTGGAAGACCCAAGAGCAATGTAAGGGCCAGTATGCTTTGCTTTGTTTTTTCACAAGTAAGTAACTGATTTGATGAACAGTCCCAGAAAAAACTCATTTTATAAAGTTGGCACATCTGCTT